AGAGGTTTAAGTCTGGGAATGGTAGGCGCTCCCAGGGGCATGTTCAGAATGTTGAGTCAATACTTCACATCTTGGGCTTCAGATAAGGCCACACCAAGTAAATTTTATGGATGACGTCCTTTGGTGACCCTAAATCTAATGCGAGAGGGTGAAAAAAAAACAAGAAGGGCCCTAAAAAACAAGATGCCTAGATTAGAAATATACCAAGAGACGACAAATGTTAGGACACAAATTGAATGAGGTGACACAGTGTAACAAGCAAGAAGTTTTTTATTCATCATCAAAACAGCAATAAATCGGGTGGAACAGCAGTTGTCGTCCTGTGCTTTGATGGAGCGGTCAGCAAGTTTCTTGTACCAAACTGAATTCCTAAAGGAAGTCATGATTTCCTTGCTTGATGCTTCATATTAAGCTTTAGTCCGTACAAACCTATTTGCGGCACTGTCGTGACTATTTGGTCATAGTTACAGGAAGCGGAATTTCTTGTTTTTTTTTCTAGGAACAGGCCAAAATCATTGCGAGCGCGGACGTCATCCATAAAATTTACTTGGTGTGGCCTAAGTTTGATGAAGTTGACCTATATTGAACGGTTGCTTGGAGCAGTCAGTGCTAGCACCAACATATCACTACCAAAAATGATTTTTCTTGTTTTTCTTGTTTTTCTTAATTCGTGGACAAATTTTCTTATATGAAGAAATTTCAAGAAAAATTAAGAAGAAATAAGAAAAGAGCAAGGGGTAGCTGAAAGATTTTTTTTCTTGTATATTTTCACTACAAGAAATATTTTCTTATTTTTCTTATGTGAAGAAATAATTTCTAGAGAAGTCTTTCTCTGCTTAGAATGTTCTAGAAAATTAAGCTAAATAATCTTGATTTTTCTTGTCTGAAGAATGCTTGGAGCAGTCGGTGCTAGCACCAACATAAATGTTGATAGCGGTAAATGGATTAGACAGTTGTCTCTAACTGGCCATTACTTCTGGGTATGGAAGTATTGTTTTGGGTGACCCGAGTTGTTGGTTTGTGTCTCAGCTTGTCCTATGAAAGGTTTTGTTGGATGGTGGGTGGGAGATGAATTGGACATTTTGAAGTGGTGTAATACCCAGTGGTTAGGTCTAAGGTAAGGTAATACCCAGTGAAGGTACATCATACAAACACAAAACACATATGATTGCAATGCCATTAAAAAAGTGCTTTAAAATATATCTACAGAACTGAGATTTCAAACCTTATGTCTTTTCCTCCATGTGCTTTCTGAGCAAAATTTGCAGGACAAACTTCCATCATTTCTATACCATAACTCACTGACTGGTCCCTCCCCTATGGCCACACTGATTTAATTTTATGGATGACTTCCGCCTGCGCATTGATTTCCACCTGTCTTTAAAAAAAAAAAAAACACCTCGATGAGGCTCTGGCCTGGGTCCTCCGTAGTCCACGGTAGCTAGCAACAATAGGGAGCCGGCGGTAACTACGGAGGATGGCACCCAGGCTGTCGAAGCTCCATGGAATTCAGAAGCCCATACAGTGCCAACTCATAAATGCTGCAAAAGGCCAGCATGTGCCAGCTTGTTGTAAAAATCGTTATGTACCATACCCCAAATTCACAATACCAGCTTTCTATTCCTGTGGTTTAGCTTTTTTGTTCTGGAATTTTTGTTTTATTTGCCCACGCACACTACATATAGTTATGGGGTCTTTGAAGGATGTCATCCATAAAATTAAGTCAGTGTGGCCTATAGAAATCAAAGACCAGTTTACCAATTATACAGGTGCCAATAGCAATCTAGGCTGTCCCAGATATATGATTTCACTCCATTTGTCAGCAAGTGTTCTGATTGAGTTGTTTTGGTCCCTAGAGGGGGGTCAGACCTAATGGGGAGGTGGTGAGGGATCAAGGCCTGTTTAATCAGGAGTGTGGATGGTAAAATGGACACCATCAACAATAATAACTCCAGGGTGCTAAATTGTTATGGGAGGTCACAATCATTGTGGGACAGTATGAAATAAGTTTGAGCTGCAATTTCCAACACAAGAAATTGGACTAACCCAAATTTTCAACTTTACAACTCCAGTCTTTGTCAAGGAATGAGCAATCCACTGCTTCCGTGGCGTCACACAGATAACACACGTGACTCCGAGAGCAGTGGATCATAGGTTATAGAAAGTTTGTGGCGCCCCCCGTCTCTGTTGAGGGATGGTTGTAATGCCCTGATGTAGATGGCCATTATGGGACATTGTATGATTTTCATGCTGTGGAATTTTCAAGTGATTACAAATTACGCAAAATTTTTGCGGCCGATTACAAATTACATCAAAGTCTCGGAGCTGTTTACGACTTTACGCTTTGATTATGAATTACGTTGATTTGTGGGGAGGCTGCCTATGGATTATGAAGACTAAAAAGGTCTGATTGCTCCTTACGAAGAAAGGCATAGAAGGGCATGCAATGGAGCAATCCTGTGAAATCGTTCCCCAAACCCTTCACCGTAACAAGTCAATTTACCGTTAACCATATCAGCCATCCTGAACTAACTATTGCTTGTCCTCCTACATGTAGATAGTTAAGCATCCCCCCATGCCAGATCCCCCCATATGTAAGCGTTGTCAGGATCCCCCCATGCAGATCCTCCTCCAGGTGGACCAAGGAGATCAAGAGATCTAATTAACCTGTACTGTAGGGTCTACCCTGCACAACAAATGGAAAGTCACAGACTAGCCAATGACAATCAATACTCCATCACTGTGTTTGAAGTGGGAGATGAAAAATTCATCGGTTAAGGGTCGATCAATAAAGTCTTAGGGATGGTCTTAAGGCAAAGGAGGCGTCTTACAAGATCTTAAGCAGGTTCTTAAAATTGGCCCACTTGCACCAGATGATATGTACCATTGTCAAATGGTTATTTGTGTCATACATGTAGATATAAACATGCGACACGGTGTGTGCCGTATCAAACAAGGTATCAGCCTGACTGTGGTTCGGATGGTCAGACAGCCAAGAAAACACACCTTTCAATGTGCCAGAAATTGAGAAAATTTGGTGTCCCTGAACAAAAATTCCAACTGACAAATCCAGTATTCGACTTTTGAAAGCAGCGCAAGCAGTGCACACGTACAAATTATACTATGGAACTTTTGGAAGTAGGTGTGATAACCGTTAGAACCCTGTGTGATATCACTAGCTATCACATGGGCCAAAACACTGGAATTGAATGTTATCAGGGCCCAGCCTGGTATGATATAATATCAAATACTGGCTATGTACATGTAATAACATTCTACCATTTCAGAACTTATCAACAGAGACACTAACCTAAAATATATAATAGAGTCTACTACTACTACTACTACTACTACTAATAGCATTGAAGTTATCAATTACATTAATATAGATGTATGGATAAGAAATCAAAATTACAGAGGCAAAACTTCCAAGGAAACTGAAAGAAACTTGAAGACTTAGTATTTTGTGTAAAGATAATGATAGATTTTAGACTATAGAAGTCTAAAATAGAAGAACATACTAGGCAACAAGCATTTTATCAGTTATGTATATCAGTTACTGTAATAAAAAAAAAGTATTCACTCTCTTTTGTTAAGATGTCTAGATCTAAATGCAAAGAAACTGAAGGATGCATTACGTTGTGCTTTAAATGGCCCAAAGACTTTTCCAATATTCTGGCAGCTCTTAAAGGAATCCTTCAAGAGCTTCAAAGATCTTGCCGACAGTGCACTGAGCATTTCAAAGTGATCGCCGTAATCCTTGTTCTCAGACTCTGTGCAACTTGCATTAAAGATAGATAAACCAAGTGTGGAGACATAGGAGCATAGGTCAGGGCTCTGGAGATGTGTGGTGGTCTGGTACATTTGTTCCTAACAGTGGCATCCATTGGATAACCTTCAACATATCAGTGGAGAGAGGAGGACTGTGGACCAATCAGATCAGGTGTTTTAAGGTTATTTTCGATAGTGTATTTGTTTCTTAGGTCTCAGAAGATAACTAGTGTGTGATGTGGGCTAGTACCTACTGTTGTAACAGTGGCATCCATAGGATAACTTTCAACATATCAGTGGAGAGAGAAGGACTGTGGACCAATCATATCGGGTGTTTTAAGGTTATTTTCAATAGTGTATTTGTTTCTTAGGTCTCAGAAGATAACTAGTGTGTGATGTGGTCTAGTACCTACTGTTGTAACAGTCACATTCATTGGATAACTTTCAACATATCAGTGGAGAGAGGAGGACTGTGGACCAATCAGATGAGGCGTTTTAAGGTTACATGTATTTTCCTAACCATGACACTTGTATTTGTGTTTCCCTAGTCTACTGTGACAACTAGTATGTACTAATGTGGTCTTCTACTGTACTGTACAGTTGCATCTGTAGGGTAAACCTTTAACATATCAGTAGAGAGTAGGACTGTCAGTATTGCCTTATTGGATTGCTGTCTACTTGACAGGCTATACATGAACTGCTGGGGATGCATTGAGCTACTTATCCAACTGTTCCTGCCATTGCTTCTTAATATTCTTTGATGATCCTCTTTGTCCCTGTGAAAGCTGTCCTATGGACAAGTCACATATCAGAGAATGGAATGCTCGTGAACTATCTCGTGCTTAAATTCACTAGTTGGAATGCCCAAGTGGCAAGGCTAGCGGACACAAGATTGAGAGGTTGCGGGTTCGATTCCTGGCTTTCCTGTGTCCTTCGGAAAAGCACTCTACACGACTTTCCTCACTCCACCCAGGTGTAAAATGGGTACCTGACTTCAGTTGAGGAGGTAAAAGGCAGTGGAAGGAGAGGGATGGGCTCTGCCTTCCAATTCCATGCTCTAGACACAGTGGATTTACCGACTGCCCCTATGGTCGCAAAAAGGCTATGGGTCTATCTTTACCTTTATCTTAATACTTTGTCTACTTTTAAGAAAACTACGTGTTTGTTCTTCCAAGGTGTGGTGTTGATGACTTTAAGTTTGAGCAAGTTTTTTTTTGTGTGTTGTACAGCTGGGGTGAAGGCACTGAGGGAGCAACGGATGCAAAGGGCTAAAACTGCACCTGCCATTCCCATGGAGAACAGGTTTGTTTGTTTATTTGTTTGTTTGTTTGTTTGTTTGTTTGAAACTGTTTACCCATGAAATACATATACTCAAACAGGCTACAACTGCTTTTCATTAAGTTTATTAAAACCCTTGTCCTGCTGTGCGCAACATATGTCGCGCGACACATACAGTACCATCTATATAACACCCTGTATAGGTACGATTTGGGGGTATTTCTCGTGCAACGCATCACACCGCAGCGAAACGCAACGAATGCGGAAGTAACTATGCCACTGCAAGGCAAAAAAATTTGGGTGTCTATGATTTAATTAAGACATGAAATTATTGAAAAATATTGTGCCAGGAATGCCAGCAGGACAAGGGTTAAGGAACAGGATGGAATTAAGTCAATCAATTACGTTTCACAAAGAATTTCCCCCGACACTTAACGTTAAATTAAAGTAGACAACTATAATTAACAGTGAATTAAACTTTCCCTCCACGCCTCATGGAAAAGGCATCCAGATGTAAATAGCACTATTGCCTAATTTCGATTCCATAGCCACTTCAAGTAATAGCAACATTAAATACCAACATTAGCAGTGTTCCCCTCAGTGTGTTCCGATCACCCAAGCAATGTTTATGAGAAGTGCAGTAGGGCCCAGGAAAAATAATGTTAACGTTGTGTTTCCGGATACCTGAACAACCCTAGCCGTTTTTAGAGATCAACCACCAACGAGAGAAATAAAATTTTCAATCTCACATACATGTAGTCTGTACCACTAATACTACATGTACCAGTACACTGCACTAAATCAGAACTGGACCTTAAACAGTTGGCATGCTCAAGTCCAAATACCAGTGTACTGATGCAGTTCAGTGCTGTATTAACTGCATTTGTCTATAAATTATTAGATCACTTTGACTAACATGTAAAAAGAATTAAAAATGTGAAAAAAAGTGAATCCCTACCTACCGACCCTAATTTTTGAGAGACTGTAATGAGAAACGCGACATTAATTTTCCTAGGCCTACATGTAGATCTAACGTTGTGGCTGCCACTGTGGAGCAATAAGTGTTCCATTACCTCATCAGCCAGCCCCAGTCCCTATACTGTGGTTAATGGGCTATAGAGCAGTATTGATGTTGTGGCAATCTCCCCTGAATTGGATGGAAGGGAATAAATACATCCCCGGTCCTCAAAACGGGGGTGTGGGGCCACGTGAAAGGGAGTAACACTTCCAAAAGAATACTGTTTATCGTACAGTTGGTAGAGATGAAGACGGTTGGTTGAAATATGCAAAAGTTGAAATGTTTTGGTATTGGGGATTGTTGCATCATAATTTGTGAGGTTTTTTTTGTGAGACAGAAGTGAATTTTGTATAACTATACTGTTAATATATCTTTTGAAAAGTACTAGATCTTAAAGTTCATTCATTATACAAAGCCACCAAGGTCTATCCTTAAGGCCACACCCATTTAATTTGTTGTTTCTCGGATTTTTTCAGAAAAAAATATGAAGCGACAGGGCGAAATAAAAAAAACAACAGGCCAAGGCACCACGTGATAGCCGGAAATGTAACAATATAAGCCATGAAGTGAACATACCAGGCTGGTTTATAATTAAAACAATAGATTTTGAACTTTTAATGAAACAGTTGCATTGTTACATTGAAAAACTAGGAAGAAGAGGACTTTCTTCAACCGTTGGGGCCAAAACAATAATTGTATTGTGCATGACAACTCAGAACTACTCGCACAATACCTCAACAGGAGTCCCCAGAGTGTCAAGCCAAGCTAATTTAATTACAGTATATTTGATTGTGTTAGAAGTTTTAATTGATGATATTTGTGGTTTCTGTTCCCCAGTTATAACAAACCCAGGACGGCTGTCCTGAAGAGGGACCAGCATGGATTTGGCTTCGTGCTACGAGGAGCAAAAAGTAAGACACTGTATTTCACAAAAATAACAATTATTACAGTTAGGCCAAGGAAAGGGCTCTTGACACTTGTCACCAAAAGTATTCCCAGGGGATTATTTCTTGTCAAAAGTTTTTGACACTTGGGGACGATAGTTGATAAAAACTACAAATTTTTAAAAAGCTGTAACTTTTAGTAGAGCAGGTAAAAGAAATGTTGTTTTTGTTCATAGCATTTTGTGTCATTCTAATGTTAAAACTGTCCAATTTGTGTCATTTTCTTCTTGGTTGTAGATGTTACACTGTGATATGTTTCTGGTCTACATTTTGTACATTCCATGCTAGTGCATTGTAGCAATCTCTTGTGTCGAAATCTGTCAACTTTTCCCGTGTTTTATGGTAAGCGTGCATTTGCATGAGTACTGTACTAGTAGATGTAGTTCTGTGTCTGTGCTAACTGTGCATGTGCCGTTTTACCCCAAATCTCGCTGCTCAACAGCCCCACGGAATGGGGAAGAGGGTAAGCACCTGTGTGAATGTGTAAAATCCTTGCTTGTGTGAACATGCAAGCCTGTTTTTAAGTGTGAACATGCAAGCCTGTTTTAACAACCCTTGTCCTGCGGAGCACAACAATTGTTGTTCTGCACATACAACCATCTATATAGCACCCTGTACAGGTACGATTTGGGGGTATTTCTCATGCAGCGCATCATACCACAGTGAAACGCAAAAAGTGCGGAAGTAACTATGCCACTGCAGAGCAAAAAAATTTGGGGGTCTGTGATCTAATTAACACATGAAATTATTGAAAAATATTGTGCCAGGAATGCCAGCAGGACAAGGGTTAGTGTGAACATGCAAGCCTTTTTTTAACATGCAAAGCTTTTACCTTGCTTAAGTGTGAACATGCAAGCCTCACATCTTACACATTTTAAGTGAGAACATGTAAAACTCACATCTTACATACATGTTTATCAAGTATGAATGTGAAAACTCAAGTGTGAACATGCAAGCCTCATCTTACATGCATCAAGTATGAACTTGTGGACTTCTGACATGAGCATATTAAAGAACCTCACACCTTGCTTGTGTGGACATACAAAAGTTTTACCTTGCTTGTGTGGACATACAAAAGTTTTACCTTGCTTGTGTGGACATACAAAAGTTTTACCTTGCTTGTGTGAACATACAAAAGTTTTTCCTTGCTTGTGTGGACATACAAAAGTTTTACCTTGCTTGTGTGGACATACAAAAGTTTTACCTTGCTTGTGTGGACATACAAAAGTTTTTCCTTGCTTGTGTGGACATACAAAAGTTTTACCTTGCTTGTGTGAACATACAAAAGTTTTACCTTGCTTGTGTGGACATACAAAAGTTTTACCTTGCTTGTGTGGATATACAAAAGTTTTACCTTGCTTGTGTGAACATGCAAAATCTTCAACTCCATTGCTGTCGCAAGTCTCTCACATCTTACAAAAACAAGCTGTTGTGTTCTTTGATCACTTTTTTATTTGTACAGAATTTTTCTGTTTTGATGTTTAACAAGTTTGTAGTGTCCAACCATTTTTGTTTCCTTTTTATAAACATTTTGTTTACCTCAAAGTTGTTTGTGTCTAATTCATGATTTGAATGTTTATTGTATTGTCCCATATAATCAGCTTTAATTCTGAAAAAAATGTAATTATGTACTTGTCTAGTAAGTTAACAAATGATGGTAATTTCTTTTTTACAGTTTCTGAAGGTCATAAAGATAAAGAAAGATTGTTGCACATGTATTCTTTGATGTGATAAGTTTTTATGATGTATTTTATCGCTAATGATACATACAGATATATGTAGGATTTTATGCTATCTATTTGTAATAACTGGGCGCAAGTTGTAAATACTCGACATATTTCACACACTTAATGTGACATGCATATGCCAGTCTATATTTAATAAAATCTGGATCTAAAAAATGTTGAGAAAGTGTGATTGTATTTTCCCCAGCCCTGAACCCGAATGTGCCTTTCACCCCGACACTGGCCCACCCTGCCCTGCAGTACATGGAGAGTATCGACCCTAACAGTGTAGCTGAGAGGGCCGGGTTAAAAAAGGGAGACTTCTTACTCCAGGTTAGTGCTGTGTACCCTAGGTCTTGTTCTGTAATTTGATGGAATTTTGCCGCTCATGACGGACAAATATGTTGCTGAATCTGTCATCTTTGACAGACAAAAATCGGCGTGTAAAGATATGGAAAAAGATGTCATTAAACTAAGCTTAGTCTACCTAACAAAATTTGCCCCTCAAAATGCAGGAAAGAGTTTCAGAGGGTCAAGATTTCAAAATTTGTTTGTCAAGCATCAATCCTTACGTGCTGCAGTCAGGCACTGTTTACTAGTTATAGTCATACATGATGTAAATATCGTTCTAGCCGGTGGATTTGAAGGGATTGACAAAGACAGTGCTGATTTCATCACCCATACACTATTTTCATCTTTCCCAGTGCTAAATTTTGTAATTTTGTATAGATTGTAAGTAAGCCTGTGAAGTTGTGCTAATGATACTCCTAAAAATCTGAAAGGTCTAGAGTTGAGTTACAGTATATGATAGTATGGTGAAGGCAGTGTTTAAGTGCCCCCTGTTGAGTGATGTTGGTACTGCAGGCTACTCTATAAGTTGTAGTGTCACATTGACTGGGTTACTTCCAAGCCAACAGCAAATTTAAACCAATTACCACTTGTGTGGTCCACTCAACCCTGTAACACTCCCTCTGAGGACAGTTTAATGAATGTTAAGTGGGTTAAAGGAAAATACCCACGAGTGAAAATACAGAAACCACCTTTCTCAAACTGGTAAGGCCCAGTTACAAATAATGCTGTTTCCTGGTCTTTATCAGGAAAAAAAAGAAGCGGGCGAATCTGTGAACCAACAAATTGAATTGGTGTGGCCTAATGCATTGTTGGTCAGAATCAGGGTCAAAATACTGGGTGCATGTGCACCTTAGTTCACCCAAATTAAGAGCTGTGCACACAATTTTTTTTTCTGGGGGTGCACCAGTGCACTACAACCAAATAGGTTTACGTAAAATATATTGTATCAAGATGTTAAATGCATAGTAGTGAAGAGCATGTTCTAAGTGTCAGTAAAATCATTCTTGTACTACTTTTCTTTAGAAATGGGACATAATTGCTGACATTCTACTTATTTTAGTTTAAACGTGGTGCACCCACAAAAATTTTTGTGCACCCAATTTTTTAGGATGGGTGCACCTATTCCCAAAGACGAATTTCGGGCCCTGTGATTTCATTTATGATATCTTTGTAGATCAATGGCGAGGACGTCCGTCGCTTCACACACGCACAAGTGGTGGAGCTGATCCGTGATTCGCAGGACTTTCTCAGACCATAGACTTTTGCTACTGTGAACATAAAGTGAATTACAGTTACTGTATCTGTGTCCTGTGCATAGATCAATGGCGAGGACGTCCGTCGCTTCACACATGCACAAGTTGTGGAGCTGATCCGTGACTCGCGTGACGTGGTGGTGATGACAGTCGTGACGGTGGATCCGGAGCTGCGAGCAGCGCTGCAGAGACAGAAGGAGGCTCAGAAACGCATCAGTATCGCCGTCAGCTCACCCAGGGACGAGGACGAGATCGTGGACCTGAGAAGAGATGACTCAATCGCCAAGGAATTCCCAGGTATTCATTCTCAAGATTTTCTTTCTATATTTCGGAATAATGATATGATATGAATCTTTATTGCATGTTCTTGCCCAGATGGGCTAAATGCACAAGAGGATGTCCAGTATGTAAAACATGAGTATTCAATACTGGTACGCTATATTCTAATGCAAAAGTGCTAGGAATCTATATATTACAATAATGCTATAAACTACCTATCATCTACTGTTAGTTGCCCTTTCTAGATAATAGAGACTCTTATAGAGACTCTGATAGAGATCCTGAGTTTTTGTCCACAGAGGCTTCAGTCAAGATGCAGTTATATAATGTGTTTGGGTGGTTTCCCATTTACAAATCCTTAATATCAAGTCAATCCACTGATCCAGTGACATGAATCTCATTTAGGCAAATATCGAAAAAATTAACATTCTGACTTCAACCCGCATCTTTGCCCTTAGAATTGTAAGTTTCTGTTGACAATAACTTCAATCTGCATCACTGATTCTACAGACAGGAGTCTCTACTCTAACTTGTACATCATATACATTGTTGTTTCAACATTGTAAATAAAATATTTCAAACATCAAATACATCAAATATTCCAAAGAAGAAATTGTTTCATACTCAGCTATTGTAGCTATTATCTGAACTAATGACTTGTACTGTATGTTGCGATTTTATTTTTTGTGTGACTCAAAGCTTTTATTTTATTTTTATTGAATTGCTTTTTCAACATATTCAAGTTTATTTTGTTGTTTTTGAAACACTTTATATCGACAAGATATAGACCAGACAAATTTTCTGTATGTGTGGTATTTAAAAGGCAGCAGCTTTCTCCCTAAGCCAGCACCTCACCATTACAGACTGTGTGTTTATTCCAGTGATCTCCCATGCCCTTGTAAGGACACGCTTAGTGAGAGAAACCCTCCTCTGTAATCTTAAAAGGTGCTCAGGGTCTAATCCTAGAAGAGTCGCTTATCTTTGGGGTTACACTGCAGGGCTCGAAATACTGGGTGCATGTGCACCTTAGTCATGCCCGTAGCCAGGGGGGGTTCGGGGGTTCGGAAGAACCCCCCACAAGGCTCAAAGGTCCACTTTTTGGTCCACTTTTTATCTAAAGGTCCAAGATTTCTCTTTAGATGGACTGATTTGTATCACCAGTGGGCCTGGAATCGTATAAAAACTGCCTATTTTGTCATTGAATAAAAGTTATCTCTGATTTTTTCTCAGAAATCCTCTCAAAAACGCAGGAAATGCCATGTCAGAAGGTTCATTTTTCAAAATTTTCAGGGGGAGCATACCCCCGGACCCCCCTAGGGCGCTCGCTGGTCCCCTCAAGCAGTGGGAAGAACCCCCCCATTAAAAATCCTGGTTACGGGCATGTTTGTGCACCCAAATTTGGAGCTGTGTACCCAATTTTTGTCTGTGGGTGCACTTGTGCATGTAAATATTTTCTTAGGTCTTCGTATGTGAAGAATAAAAAAGATCTAACAGGTTATTAGTATACAGGGTATTCTTGACATCCAAGTGTCAGAAACTATGAAATTATTGTTGCAGTACTTTTCTTTAGAAATGAAACATACTAGTTTTTGCTGACATTACACTTATTTCATTTTATATGGTGCACCCAAAATATTTTTTGTGCACCCAATTTTTTAGGTTGGGTGCACCAGTGTACCTATTCCCAAAAATAAAATTTCAAGCCCTGCACTGTGGCCTTGTGGCCTTTGGGGTTCTTATAGCTTGTCTGTATTCAGATCCTAGAAAAGTACAGAGAGATCTCTTGACATTTACATAAGAGACATGGGCTTGGTGGGTATGCTTTCTTGTTTGTAGGCACAGGAAAGATATTTTTGACTACATCGTCAAATTGTGAATGTTCAAAATTGCCTTAAAACTGTCCAGTGTATAATCATTGAAAGACAAAAAGTGCCTTTCTCAAGGACACAACACTGGGGCATGAAAGGGATTCGAACCCAGAACCTTTGGATTCTGAGAAAAAAAATTAACAACAAGACCACCTTGCCTTTTGTGTGAAGGTATGGCAAAACCTCAAAAACAAAACCACTGCAAAAGTTTCTACAATTTACAGTATCATACCTGCCCTAACTACACAATGGAATACTGAGATAAATCTTATCAAGAAAATCTTGAAACCTGGAAATTTCCTGTCTTCCCAAGCAGAGTCTGGAGGATGTTATTCCTTTTGTAATGAGATGTCAGTCATGGAAAGTTTTTCTTCTGATTTTTATCACACTGACAACAAACCTGGGCTCTTCAGTGATGTCTCTGAATCCTCCAGGAATTTCTCTGACTAGCATTCTTGTCAAATCTTCTGTGTCAGCACCCTTCTATCCTTCTGTCTCAAAGGGGTTATCTATCAAGAATCTGAAATGGATAACTATCTTGCTAGAGGATGTGCTTGGGGGGATCCTGACAATGCTTAAAAGTAAATCAAGGAGGGCTAGCAATGATTAACTGTACATTTGTATATTTGATGTTTAACATAATCGGTTAAATTTAACATGTAATCAGTAATTATGTCATCCAAAATCTGTAACCCCCCATGCAGACCCTTTTTTGTACGCTCAGTCAGCCCCTGGTATTGCAAGATGTGCACGATTTGCTTCTTTTGTATCTAAAGCCTTTTTCTAGGCCAGAAATAAAAAGCCCAAAGACCTACTATTTGTTTTACTTGGACAGGGTCTTAAAATGTGTTATCGTGTTCATCTCCCATTTGCCTTTTTACCTCCGGGTAGGGATGTATATCCCGTGCGCGGAGGTTTTGTGAGGGAAGACGAAAATTACGTTCGCAGCAGTTTCTAGCGTTTGGGTGGACGGATATGTCTGGGACTTGGTATACGTTTTGCTATTGGGCTGTAGATGGTGCACGTTGTTTTGGTTTTTTAGTATGTGTGTTTTAGTGCGTGAAAATGATGGGTTTAGACCGCCGACGGACACCCCTTTCAGTGTGAAAGTGGACCTCAACTTTTGACCTTTGCATGTATAAGGACCATTGAGGTCTCGACCACTGATCTGACCTTTCACACAGAGGGGTGTCAGCATTCTCGATAAATTCTTTCTTTGAAACTGTTCAGATGTGAACCACATGTGCCATCAATCAACGTCTCATTATCGTGCCTGGTGGGACCGGCTGTCTCGTGTTTGTAACGTTCGCTCAAAATGAGGTTCTAAGTTTTAACCGTAACATGAAAGATATGAACACGCTTCTGTGCATGTTTTGATGGTTTTTTTTTTGACGTGATTTGAACTAGTGTGGGATAAGTGGGGAGGGATGACAGCCGCGGGGGGAAGCGTAGCGGCTTGATACATTTTCGAGAGCAAGTTCCGCGCACTGGAGTTGATTTCTCACGCGGCCGTTTGTGTAGGTGTTTGTTTACATTATCGCTGGTCGCTGAGGGTCGGGCAGCCAGATTCGCCACGGGATGCCCCCTGTCCTTTCTATTTTTGGGCTCCAGTCGGCTAGGGGGGATTAGTGATTTCACAGATCATTTAGCCAATTACAAACATTTCGAAACTTTTCGAAAAACTAAAACTGAAACTGTTTTTTTATTCACATTGATTGGCAGCCAATATTCATTGCTTGGCTGAATTGCACAAGTGATTACATGTTAAAATAGCTTGAAAAGAGATTCACATTAAAAAGACACAACATTGACGATTAAAATTAAATAGATTTAAAATTTTGTAGCTCAGGTCCATTAAAACAGAGGCGGACTATTTACAAATCTTGATTGCTGAGACTTATTGCCTGAAACAGAAAAGATTTCCTCAGTCTTTCAGTTCTGAACTTCGGAACGGAGATGTGGTTTCCATTTCTCAGGGACCGCCGTGTGCTCTGGTGTCTGTCGCAGGGCATCAAAGAATGCAAAGTGTGGCTGACATGCCGCATTTGCTTGAGCAGAGTTTTTGCTGCAGTTTCCCGTCTGTCCTGGAGGGTGGAGAAGGGGGTTGTTTGAGTACTGTTGCCGTAGATGATTCTCGCCGCCCTTCTCTGTACAGCCTCAAGAGTGTTGTTCTGTTTTGTGTTACAGCCCACGTACACGGCATTTGCATACTCTAACACAGGTCGTATCAGAGTCGTATACACAGTTTCCAGGTCCTCTGGTGGCATCCCGCCCTTCTTGAGCATGCGGAGAAAGTGAAGACGGGTTGAGTCTTTCTTTGCCATGTGTGTAAAAACCGAAAGGGGCGGGCAGGTCACAACCGGGAATCGAACCCGAGTTGTCCGCTTGGCGGTCACCAACGCTAACCACTACACTAAAAGGTCGCACGACCCTTTAGCATGGTCAGTTAGCACTGTTACACTACTCCCCCTTTTCTTTCAAGATTCGTCCTCGAATCTTCCGAGTCCGACATCCCTGGAGCTGCCACACTTATCCTCAGTGCCAGTACTCACAGGGCCGGCATGGGAACCACTGTAAAATTTAGGGATCGGTGTACTTTAGGTGTTGGGCTAACTTTACTCACGCCAAGTTACGCGTCTATATGATCTGCTAGTTAACCAAGTAAAACACACGGAGACGGGTCGATTCAGATTGTACGGGCTGTTGTATTATGATCTATCTGCTGTATATACAAAGTCAATACAGAGTCAATGGTCTAGTTACAATGGTCTAGTCTTAGAGTTACAGGAGTGGAAATCTACAAAGGATATGAACTACAAGTGTGTGTGTCTAACCTGAGGTCCCGGTCTCGAACTGATTTCAAACGGAAGCGGGCTAGCTAATATCTAATACTGACGCTGACTGCTCTCACCAGTCATTGGCTAATCTAATGAGTATGTAAATGAACTAAGAAGCTGGAGATCTAAATATGGATACTAAGCACTACGTCATAAGTCACTACGTCACGGGAACCATAAATCACTAACTAACGGATCAGGGCTGTTACATGTGTAAGATTTGGCTGTCCCACCCAAGGCTGCGGTGACGTTTGAAGCCCAGATACGTGGCACATTCAACAACCGGGACTTCTTTGCCTCCAAGTGTGAGGGG